GACGGTATATTGGAGCACTTTCTACAACAGCCAGTGGCTAAGGCTGCAATTTTATGCACATTTACATGGGAACATAGTTTTCTTAGAACGTAGTGAGGCTCACTTCTGAGTAAGCATGTACAAAATTACACTGCAAGAGAAGGACGGGGTTTGGGGAGGGGAAGGGCCTCAGCCTGGTACAATGCCATAGAGTCCACCCTCCAAAGCAGCCATTTTATCCAGGGGAACTGATCTCTGTCAGCTGGAGATCGGTTGTAAAAGCAGGATATATCCAGGCCACACCTGGAGGCTGGCAACCCTAGTATGGGATGATAATAATGGCCTACTCTGCATGATTGTATGATGCATGATGACCTTGGGCAAGCCATCGTTTTCTCAGAGCTGTTCTCTCACGAGCAGATCTGGAAAGAGCTCTCTCAGCCCCACCTACCTCACAGGGTGTCTGTTGTGGGGAGGGGAAGGGAGAGGAGTTTGTAAGCCGCTCTGAGACTCCGAGTGAAGGACAGGATATAAATCCAATCTCTTCTCCTCTTCTTCTAAATGAAAGTGAAGTGTATTGAATATTGAACATGCTACATAAATACGGAGTATTCACATGATATATTTCTTGTTCTTGGGAGGTTTCAGGATAGCTTTACGGTGGGTCAGGTTGCCAACCTCGATGTGGCACCTGGAGATCTACTGCTGTTATAATCGATCTCCAGACAACCAAGATCAGTTCCCCTGGAGAAAATGGCTGCTTTGAAGGGTGGACTCTGTAGCACCGTACCCTGCTGAGGTCCCTCCCCTCCCCAAACCCCACCCTCCCCAGGCTCCACCCCCAAAATCTCCAGGTATTCCCCAACCCAGAGCTGGCAACCCGAACAATGGGGCATCGTCTCCTCCTGATGGAGATCAGTTCTACTCTCCTGTGGGCCTATGGTTGAGGACATCAACAGTTTTTCACCTGGTTGGCTCCTCTCCTCCCCTTCCCCTATGGGGTAAGGATCCGTGTTCCCTCTAAGCTGAGTTGGTGTGAGCTAGCTCACATTTTTGCTCACAAGACTCCACAGCTTAGGAGAGAGCATTGATAAGGACATACAAATAAATGTATGTTATGCACCTCTGGAAATCTTGATCTGAATTATTGTAATCTGATTTTAACAGTTTAATTGCTTTTAATTAATTGGGATGTAATTTAATATGTGTTCACCACCCTGAGCCCATTTGGACGGAGGGCGATCTAAAATCGAATAAAATAAATAAATAAAATACTCTCCCGTACCTTTGCGGAGTCCTGAACAAAATCACAGATCTTGCTGAAAAACATTTACTCTGTTCTGTTCTTATCATTGTGATTTTTTTACACACAGCTACAAGAAGTGTTCTTCTGGGTCGAAAAGACCCCTGGAATCCGGTCAGTCCAGTTACAGAGCTGTGACTTCCCCTTTACATTCGCTGGTCACACAGGAAGAGCCCCTCTTTTCTATGTTTGGGCCAGGACTGGAGGACTTGGATGAATCTCTGGTGCTTAAAATGATGACGAGTCCAGAGGTTTTGCCACTCGCTGGTATACCTCGCAGACAAATTCCAGGTAATACCACTTTGATTGTTGTTTTTTAAGGGAAAGAGGACACAATATTGAATCTATGAAACTGCTTTCTGTGCAGTTTTATCCATGTCATTCAGTCCTGCTTCTTCGTTTATCCATGTCATTCAGTCCTGTTTCTTCGGCAGCAACAGTTCACCAGAGCAGAGGCAGAGTCCTTTTCCAAACTCTGCTGCCTGAGAGCGGGGGGGGGGGGGGGGGGGGGGATTTGCTTTGCATGCAGAAGGTCCCAGGATCAATCCTTGGCATCTTTAATTAAAAGGTTTAGATAGCAAGTGGCTCAGAGGTTAAGACGCTGAAGCTGTAGATCAGAAGGTCTGTAGTTCGGCAGTTTGAGACCCTAGTGCTGCGTGACGGAGTGAGCTCCCATTTCTGGCCCCAGCTCCTGCCAACCTAGCAGCTTGAAAGCAAGAAACTGCAAGTAGATAAATAGATACCGCTTTGGCAAGAAGGTAACAGCGTTCTGTGCACCTCGGCATTTAGTCATGCCGGCCACATGACCATGGAAACATCGGACAGTGCAGGCTCTTCGGCTAGGAAACAGAGATGAGCACCACCCCCTAGAGTCAGATTCGACTAGCTTTCGAGCAAGGAAAACCTTTACCTTTACTTTAGTCAGTAATGTGAAAGACTTCTGCCTGAGCCCCTGGAGAGCCACTGCCAGTCTGAATAGATGGACCAATAGTCTGATTCACTATAAGACAGTTTTGCATGTTCATCCTTTTCACTAGAGATGCCAGGACATGAACCTGGGACTCCTAGAGTCAAGGCTCTTCCCCAGCCTGTTGCTTAGGCTTTGGGGTTCTATTAATAAATGAAAGGCCAAGATTTTGAACTGGGGCCCTTCCAGCTTACGTTGTTAAACAATACTTTATGCTACTTCTCGCTGTCTTCCCAGCCCCACTGGCGTAACAGCAACCAATCCTCTCGTACCAGGGACCGGAAAGAAGAACTTCTAGATATTCAGCTTCCAGGCAGTCTTAAGATGGAGTCTGCCTTATTCTAGAAATGAACACACAGAGCATGTCTTTGTTTTCTACATGTGACCTGACCTGGATAGCCCAGACTGACCTAATCTTGTCAGATCCTGGAGGCAGAGCAGGGTCAGCCCTGGTCAGTATTTGGATGGGAGCGCCAAAAAACACCAGGATTAATACGCAACGCCAGGTGATGGCAAACCACCTCTAAACGTCTCTTGCCTTGAAAACCCAAACAATGTTCCCTCTAAACTGAGTTAGCGTGAGCTAGCTCACAGGTTTTTTTTTGGTTTTTTTAATTTATTAATTTTTCAACATGAAAAAATACAAATACAAAATGGACAATGTAAAACAATTAACAGCATAAACAACAGGATAAAAAAGTAAATTAAGAAAAAATATATAAAAAATCTTAGTGACACAGAAATAAAGATATATATGGTATCAACAGTTTAACATTAACAAATAATGACAGAGGCTTAAATATAGACAAGACTTACCACAAATTCAAATCATTGACTACATCTGGTATTACATCATGGTGAACTAAATATTCTAGAATAGGCAACCAAATTATAGCAAAATTTGTGGAAGATTTATAAGAATTTGCATCATTTACCCTATCAGTAATTTTTTACATAATATACAGTTTCCATAGTTTAGAATGCCAATGCTTATAGTATTTTGGACTTGCAGTATTTTTAGCTTACAGTGTTTTTAGCTGCAGACAATAAAATAGTTATATGTTTACTAGTATCTCCAGAATATATTTTGGCTTGCCACCTGTTTAATAATAAATGTTCAACTGTAAATTGCAATTCAACCCCTGTAACGCCTTTAATTTGATTAATGACATATTTCCAAAATAATTCCAGCCTGGGACATTGAAGCCAACAATGCGTGTAGTTACCAAGATTTCCACATTTTCTCCAACATAATGGTGAGGCTGAAGATGTGATTTGTGCTAATTTTTGAGGGGTTAAATACCAAAAAGTTAAAATTTTGAACATTTGTAAGCCTATTTCAATAATATTAGTTTTAAAAGAAAATGAATTTCATATTTGTTGCCAATCGTCTTTCGTCAAAGTACTATTACATATGGATGTTATGAGAAAAATGTGTGTGGCAGCACATGTCTGTGACTGCGTCTACCCGTGCCACCCACACTCCCCTTTTTGGTTCATGTGTCCCATGAGTGTTGCCTCCTTACCAAAGGCAGAGGTGTAAGCTTGGAAACCACTAAGCGCTGGCAGAGACACTCAAAGGTCTCTTCTTAAAATAAAACTTATCTTTATTAAAAGAAAAACATTCAGAGATTTACCTGGCAAGGTGACCAGCAAGATGCTATGCCAGCTTGCCAACACAGTAGAATCCTATTTCCTAAATATTGATAGTAAATACACAGAAAAATAAACATGCAAACAAAGTCCCCCCCCAAAGCATGCAGAAAAACGAAAGGCCTTCCGGGCCGAACTCAAAAAAGTCTCCGGAGAGCAAATGCCTCTCCAGATTCCTTCAAGAGTCTGTGAAGGTCTATTGAAGCTGACTAGCATTTATACCAAATGATCAAAGAGGTCCCCCAATAATTAAATTACAGTTGTAAATTAACATTTTGAAGTTTTACAGGAGATTGCTTCCTTGCGTCTCACACTCCAAAAGCTACATTTTGTGTACAGGATCAGCACAGTCTAATTGTTTTTTTCCTGGTGTTCCCAAAACTGTACTTTGATGTTATCTCTGAGATGGAAGTGGGGTGTGTGGATCTCTCTGTATCTCAGGAGCTAGTTTGCTTTCCGGATTGAAGTCTGACAATGCCCAAATGGCCTTTCCTGTCAGCTGCAGTTTATTGCCTAGGAAATTGTGGGTCTCACACCTGTTTACATTGATTCAGATCCTGGGAGTGGAACGTGTGAACTTTTGAGTACATGACTGAGAGGAATGCTCTGCCTGGAACAAAGGGCTTGCAAAGAATCATGGGGTTTGGTTCAGTGAAGCAAGCCAAGCCTGTTTGCTGTTTTGCTAGCAAAGACAGAGACAAATATATGAATTTTATAAGATATTTGGTTCAGTTTTAAACCCAAACCTTCTATATTTCTAAAATTTCTTACCACAACCCCCCATTTTCGGGTTTAAAAGGAACCGAAACAGAATTGGCTACAGGAAGCTATTAGACCCATCTGTCTATTCAATGTTGTTGTGGCGGTATAGCTGCTGTGCAGTTAGACACTATTTTGATTCCAAAAGAAAACAGAGAAGGAATACATTTAGCTGCACAAGAAATAGCAAGAAAACATACCAAGATTACAAAACCACCTAACATTACTGCATTCTTTAAATAAAAGATCAAGGAAAATAGCTAAATATTCTTCCTGATAATCTTGCTCATACGCATCTAAATAAAAATGTTTACAACAAAATGAAACCCACAAATACTCTTCTGGTCAAGTATTACCTAAATGAAAATGGTTAGAGAACAGATCAAAGTCGTATACTGTAAAAGCAATAGTCAGTACTAGATGCAAGGCTGGAATTGAACAAAATGAAACGCTGTAATCTTCTAAGGGAGTGATTTCTACAGGAATAATTGGAAATAGTTCAATAGTGAATCTGGGCTCACTAAATTTGCTAGAGTCAGTAATAGAAGTCTCTAATGGGGTGAATGGAGAAAGTTCACTGGAAAATCTTGGTTCATTAAAACTCACTACAGTCACTCTCACTATCCCAAGAGTCCTGAACTGGCATAAGAGTTCTGTGTCGGCTGGTGGCTTGCAAACTTTATTATTCAGGAACAAAGTCAAAGTTCAGGAACAATAGCTGGAACAAAGGCTGGTTCAAACTGGAACAAAGCTGGAACAACAAAATGCTGGCTGGAGCAACGAAACACTGGCTCTGCACATCGAGATGGCTTGCGCAGTTGGCAGGCGTGCAAACGTTGCCTGCTAGGACGCAAACACAAGGGGTTCCCACTGAATGGGAACAGCTGTTGCGGGAACTGCTACAGCAGCTGCTCTGACACTGATGGCCATGTGTCAGGTCTGGGTCTGGGTCTGGGCTTCCAGATCTTCCACCTGCTGCAGGTCCAGATAGGCATCTGGAGCGGCTGTTGGTAGTTCAGGCTTGGGCTCCACTGGAGACACGACCCGTCTTGTGTGAGAGACGTGAATCCAGGCATCAGGTTCCACAATCCTTATGGTACAGTGGTGGTTGCTAGAAACGTCAGAAGAGGCTTTTCCCAGTGATGGACAAGCAAATGCTTTGATACTGTGCGTCAGTAGCCAGACTTGATCGCCAGGTTGGATGTCATGGCAAGCCACATCAGCCGGGACAGATTGGGAGTTCTAGACTTCAGAATGGAGTACCTTTAAAGGGGTAGCGAGAAACAAAATATATTTAGTCACACAATCACTTTCTTCAGTCAGGCTTTGTAGCCTGTGAGGATTATAATACACAGGGGAACCTTCTATACAAAATTACAAATAAGATCAACCTATATTTTCTATTAGGCTTATTCCTAATGTGTAAATGAGCAAGAGGCAATGCTTCCAACAAATTTAAACCTGTGGCTTCACAAATCTTTTCAATTTATCTTTTATGAACCCATTTTTCCTGTCTATGGCCCCTGAACTTTCTGTGTATGTGCTGCATGAGTAATCTGCAGTGCCGCAAGCGTTTAAACACATTAGCGATAAATGATGGCCCTAAGTCCTGTGGTTATAGATCAACTAAAAATTTAAATTCAACTTTAAACTATATCAATAACAATTAAACAATATTCATACCCTTGACAAACTGTTAAATCAGTTTAAAGATGTTGGAATGCTCCAAAAACAAACAAAGGTAGGCACTTTGTTTCCTTTGTGGTTTTGGCAGGTGTGGCAAGTCTGGGTCTCCCATTTTGCTTCTAGATGGATTCCTGGGGCATACCATTGTTTTAAGACTTGGGTCGCTACCCTCCCCCATTCCCATGCAGGGCACGAAGTGGCCTGTGTGGGTGATTACTACACAGTGCTACCAGTCTCACAAAGATCTTATCCGGGATGGGGGGCCATGGCCGGAGAGTGACATCTGTGCGCACCGGGATCCCAGAGATACCTGCACCCCCATTTGTTGATTTGTTACAAATGGCAAATTTAGCTGTGCGATTGGCTTGCGCATTTCCAAAACAATCACAATGAAAGACAACAAGCTCCCCCGGCTGTGGCTTGGCAGTTACCAGTCGTGCCAAGCATATGCTCCTGGTGTTTCTGCTGCTGTTAGGAACCTCGGTGGGTCCCAATTTTTCCCATCCCCCAACATTCTCCAAAGCATAGCGAGAGTAAGTAGAGATGCCAACGTTTACTCCCGTTGTCAAAAGTTCTGCTGCTTGAGTGCTCAGATGTTAAGGAAGTGCAGCTGACTCCGGGACTTCCTCCCCCCCTTTACAATGGCATAACTGACTTGGGGCTGCCACCATGCGTCCCTACTGGCAGACCCATCAGGGAATAAACAAAGGTCTGGGTTGGGGAGAGGTATGTCCCAAATGTCAGGGCGAAGGTTGGCAACCGCCTCCAATTCCTGTAAGCAACCACGAGGGGAGCTCAGTTCCCTCACCCACCCACCCCTCCCAGGGAGAGGCAAGAGAGTTGCTGGATTCAAACCTGTGTAACTTTGTAAATGAATGGCTCGGTCTAACAGCCAGATGTTCTCATACTTTGTAGTTCCCTCATTAGTAAAATACTAAACAAACTTCTCCCTCATTAGTAAAATACTAAACAAACTTCTGCAAAATCAGGGCAGGGTTTGCCTGGGGTTTGTTAATCAGTGCTACATCAGGAGTCATTGTTTCTAAAGTCAGAGACTCTACGTTTTGTATTCAAAATGAAGATTTTGTTGCTTTTTGCAGACATGTGGAACTAACTCACTGCTGGAGCTCAAAAATTTGAAAATGTGCCACTAAAACTGTGTTTGCCCCACAGTTACTCCTGAGCTGGGGCTAAAAAAGTTTAAACAAAAGATTTCCAAATACAAAGTGGCCTAAAAAGGGGGGGGGCAGCCTTTAAAGGCTTATTATGACACAAAACAAAGACAACACATTGGACATACAGAGGTTTCAGATGGAGGAAGGTAATGTGAGGGGGGTGAGTTTCCCCCTTTCTCCAAGAGTTCAATGTCATAAATGATGAAAGATGCAGCAGTCAGTTTTCCCCCCCACACAAAGTGATTCAGCAAGCATCAAAGCAAGCAATACACCTCCCAGGCAAAAACTGTGTGTTTCGACAGATTCTTCTTCAGGCAGACATATTTTTCCTGGAACCAAAGCTCACAATCTTACAGTACATAAGTCAACGATTCTATAGGCTTCTCCGGTTCTCACAGTGTTTCTTTATGTTTGTCTAACTTTGCCGTGTTCCCTGTGTGTTTGTTACTGTTTTAAACTGGCCTGTCTTTGTGACATCTCTCTTCCCACCTTCCCATTGCCTGCAGCCTTAAGAATACGTATCTCTGCCTAATGAATGAACACTTCATGCCTTTAATGAAGTGAGCTCTGATTTCGTAAATCTTATGCTGGAATAAATGTTGTTATGCTCTAAGGTGCTGCTAAATTAGTATTTTAGTTTTCTGCTACAGACTAATAGGTCTACTAGGGTTGCCAATGTCCAGGTGGTGACTGGAGATATCCTGAAAATATGACTGGTCTCCAGATGACAGAGATCAGTCCCCCTGGAGAAAAATGGCTGCTTTGGAAGGTGGACTGTATGGCATTATACCCTGATGACCTCAGGCTCCACCCCACTGAAAATCTCCAGGAATTTCCCAACCCAGAGTTGGCAACCATAGTGGCTACCCATCCTGGAATTACCTTCTAATACATAAGGCTGAAGTAGGCTTGGGAATATTGAAATAGCTGTGCAATTACTGAGATCCTGCCCCTTATCCATACGTAGAGATCACTTCAAGTATGGACAGAGATTATTTATTTCGGTACCGTATGAATTCAAGCGTTGCTCCTCCAGTTGGTTGTCAGCTTTGAACAGAGCTTAAAAGTCTTTCTGTTTGCTTGTTTTTGTCCCAAACAGGAATAGGAACAGGAGTCAAATTTCATTATAAGAACCACCAGAGATCCAATATTTTCACACTGTATTCATTGATGAGGTAAGGTTTGTTGGGTGAGAGGAGGCTCAGTGGGTGAGCATCAGCCTTGCATGCAGAAGGTTCCTGGGTCAATTGCCCACATGCCTGGCTGAAAGGATCAGGTAGTAGGTTACATGAAAGACCTCCAATGGAGACCCTGGAGAGCCACTGACAGGTAGACAATACTGACCTAGATAGACCAAGGGTCTCATTCAGTATAAGGCAGGCTCATATGGTGAGCCAGGAAATCTGCAGGGGTGTTGCAAATAAACTTTTGATCACAGTCCAGAGAACTGCAGAATTCAGTCTGCTCGTGCAGTGGAAATTTTGGCTTGTGTTTCAATGACAGTTCTTCAAGGCAGATAGGAGACTCCTTAAGAAACCAAAGGGAGTTTGAAGAACGGGTTTTTGTGATGCAAAATCGACATGTGTGCCAAAGTAAAATACAAACCAGCTTGGAATCAACTAAGCATGGGCTTAAAGTTAGATTTCTAAAATGTGGCCCATGACTAAAATGAAGGGGAAAGATTCTATAATATATATTTAAGTTTCAAAATAGAATGAAGGTAATTGTTGGCCTTCAGTATATCGGTTGTAATGCTGAAAGACATCATAATAAATCTAGGGAGAGGATTCAAGGGGGGATCTGGCCAGAAATTCCATACAGGTACAGCCAGAAATTCAGTTCTCCCTTCTTGCTATATGTATACATACAATGATGTTTTAACACATTCTCTTTTTAAAAAAATGTTTTGAAACAGCTAAAAGTTTTACAATAAGCACAAGCAACATGCACCAAAAATAAAAAGTCAACGTTAAGATATTACCCATAGAAATAAAGACCAGTGCTATAGAAAGTACACCAAATAAAGTTTGACAACACTAGCTAAATAAGTTAATAAGAAACTACAACAAACTACCAAAACTTATTTATGATTATATTTAGAGCTATAACTAAGTACATATCTGCATTACAAAACTAAGAACTGTTTTTAACACACTCTTCGTAACATTGAACAAAACCAATCTTATTAAAAAAAAAGAGTGGGGATGCAATTCATTCTGCCTTTCCCTGTGTGCAGAACTGCATATATACAAGAGAATTCTCCATGGGGCTCTAAAAAGCCTATCCATTCTCCCTCCCATTAGCTCTCAGTCAGGTGAATGTTGGGCTCGGTGTATTGCCAGGTACCTGGTTGTTACTCTGAATGGGAGCCCTTTTTTGTAGCTCTTCACAGCATGCAGCAGCTTTCCTCCACTCCCTGGCTACAAGCCCGGGGGGGGGGGGGGAGAATGGGTTGCCTAGACACTTTATGTGGATCTCCAACCATAGTCTTAGTTCTGCATGCACAGAAGTGCCCAAGTTTCTAGTTAAGGCTCTTTACCAACCGAGACAGGAGGGTAGCTCCTATCTCGCACATGCAGTGTGGCACTCATACAAGTGAACTTTCCTGCCTCTTCCCTGCCACTGCAGGCTGCTGTGCCTCTTTGGAACTAAGTCCCCAGGAACGGTGTGAGGGCAAAGCAGTAGCAGGGAGGATCAACAAAAAAATGTCCACCCTCTGGTTTTCCGCAGATGAAGTGTCTTCAGCAAGCAGGAAACACAAGGCGCCTTCACACACACTACGGACTTTGCAACTAGATTTTACTGTGTGAAATGGCAAAATCCACTTGCAAACACTCACTGAAGTGGATTGAAAAGGCATTATTTAGCATGCGTGAAAGCGCAAGGGATCCACCTCGTTACCAAAAGATGCCGAGTGGGTGAATCCCAACAAGTGTAGATCATGCAAGTCTGAGGAGAACAGAGTGCCTTCTCTTACGTGGATTGTGAGTAGGGGTGCCAGCCTTCAAGTGGGACGTGGGGATTTCCTGGAATCACACCTCATCTATAGACTACAGGGACCAGTTCCCCAGGAGAAAACGGATGCTTTGGAGGGTAGACTCTATGGCATTGTACCCTTCTGAGGTCCCTGTCCTCCCCAGGCTCCATCCCCAAATCCCCAGGAGTTTCCCAGCTGGGAGGTAGCAACCTGACCCCTCAGTGCCACCAGTCACTAGGGACCCGGACCTGGCAACCCTAATTGTGAGCCACACAAAGCCACAAGTGTGGAGTGTAGCTGCTGTTGGAAAAGAAAGATTTGGCCATGGTTATTGATGCTCTGATCACATCAACGTTAGATAGCTGCAATGTGCTCTGCTTTGAAAAAAGGAACCAATTCACAATATATTGATGTAATATACTTTTTATGAAGGACATTTGCAGTGCAATCCTAAGTAGAATCATACCCTTCTAAGTCCACTCAAGGGTGCGACTGTGCTTGGGCAATTTATAGGCAACTGTAAGCCCTCTGTTAAAAGTCGATAGCTTTGCAAGAAGCACAATTTGAGTTTCTTTGAATCCAAATTTCGGATCTTAAAAAAAAACACCTTTATTTGTGCCGTCTCTTGCCTAAGGTGTCAGCTATGCTGCCATTGCAGCAGGTGGAGGGGGGCCTGCTGAGAGTCTTCTTCATGCCTCTGGTATTTTGTCTTTCGATTCCCATTCACCGTCTTATTTTGTAGCTGAGACAAATTACCTTGGCGCTCCTCTCTGAAGGCTTTGCTGGGAACTTCTGCTCGTTAGTTTTAGGTACAATTTCTTGCTTTGCCTATTGGCTCACCTACATCAGGGGCTCTGTTCGAATTCTACTATTCAGTAAACCTGATCCTGTTTAAGGAACGTTGTTGGAACTGTTTTTGGCAAGACTCTGACATAAGGCCCCACTCATCTGCTCCCTCTGAGCTCTGAGGATTCTCTCCATCCAACTCTCCTCCTAAATGGGTCATGCTTCTCTTTCCAGCAAGAACAGAGGCACAGCCAGAGAAGAGTCTGCCAATTCCGTCAACAAGCTATTCGACAAAATAAACAGCAGCGATGGGACAACGCAGTACAATCCAAATGAACAAGTTAAAGACCTGTGCCATTCAGTTGATGGGTTTATCTATGTTGCAGATGCTGAAGCCCAGAAAAGTAAGGATCTCTGAATGTTGCTGATGCATTCTAAGGGTGGTATCTGGTAAGGGCTGATGAAACAGCAGAGGAGCTGTGGGTCAGTGGAAGAGCCTCTGCTTTGCATGCAGAAGGTCCCAGGTTCAATCCCCAACTTCTCCAGTTGAAAGTACCAGGCAGTGGGTGATGTGAAAGACCTCTGTCTTAAGATCCTGGAGAGCCCCTGCCAGTCTGATTCAGTCTAAGGCAGCTTCACATGAAACATCCCGTCTCTCTTGCAGGACACAGCCGACAGACTGAAGTTGCTCAGATGGCAGCGATGCTTAATCCAGCCCTTGGGCCTCCAGGGAGACCTGTGCTCATCTTGACCTGCATTGCAAGGGCCGGGATCAAAAGAATTCCTTGTATTTACATGGCACATCAACTGCAACTCAACGCGCTTTGCCAGCCATGGATGGTAACCTATGTTTTGTTTGTTCTTCTTCTTTTATTCTACACTGGCACAGTGAAGCCAATTGGTAGTAAGTTCCAGAAGGACAAAAAGGAAATGCTTTTTCACACGGTGTATTGTTAACGTTGTTCACTGCACTCTGACAAGTTGTAGTGATGGCCACCAGCCCTGGTGGCTTTTGGGTGGATAAACTCAAGGAGGGACTGGTACATCAATATCTATTAGTTCTTAAAGAACTGTAACTCTTACATAGAGAGACCACACATCTCTGAGTGTCACGTGCTGATATCCCTTCCGTGCAATGTTTGTACTTCAGAAGGACTCCTGTTGGAAACAAAATGCTGGATTCAGTGGAATGTGATCCAGCAAAGCAACTATTGCATTTCCTTTGTAACACTTCTCTTTCTAAGCATACTTGCATTTGAATTACTAACTTCCCCAGCATGCAATTTTTTTACCTGCAAAAGTATGCCTTCATGTGGTATATCCCTGACCATAGCATAAATGGTTTCTGAAATCTTCTTAGTGCAGTCACAGATTTCGTCACAAGTCCTCCCCTGATTAGCGCCCTAGAAGAAGAAGAAGAGATTGGATTTATACTATACCCTTCACTACCTGAAGGAGTCTCAGAGCAGTTTACAATCTCCTTTGCCTTCCCCTCTCCATAACAGACACCCTTAAGCTAGATGGGGCTGAAAGAGCTCTCTCCAGAACTGTCCTTGGGAAAACAGCTCTGAAAGAACTTGGAATTGACCGAAGGCCACACCAGCAGCTGCATGTGGAGGAGTGGGGAATCAAACCTAGTTCTCCCAGATTAGAGTTTATGCTCTTAACCACTACACCAAACGGTCTCTCTAGTTCTGGTTTGTTTGTTTTTCATTTGGAAGTTAGTACTTGACTAATGAGGCACTAGCCTACACAGTGGGGTGGATCCAGTCAGCTCGTCTGCTCCATCTTTCCCAGTTTTCCTCCTTATTATAGCCTGTGCCTGACATGGTTTGGGTTTATTTTGGTCCCCTGATCTTCTCCACAGAGTTTTTGGTGATCAAAGAGGATCCTTTCCTCTTTTTTTGCACCAGTGGAAAATCTGGTTGGATCCAACACATTGCATTTTGTCTACATGTATGGACATGTTCTGTCCACAGTCCCTTTGTTCCTCCTTTACTAAAGATTTTTTTAAAAAATGCATATGTGCACAATTGCTGTAACACCCCCAGATAAATCTTCATCCTATTGTGGGAAGGAGGGTTCTAATTTTGAATAAACAGCCAACATTTGTGTCTTTTTTAAAAAACAGGTTCAGGATATCGAAGTTGCAACACTAGATGGACTGTTAGATGGAATTGAATGGCTCTTGGGAGAAACTGGTTATGACAATGCCCAATGATCAGATATGGCTAGAGTGCCAAAAGATTGTTATTTTTAATGCCTCATTTACAAGCAGTGATTGATGTGAAAAGCCACTTTTCTCCTAATTTGATATGCAGCAAAATGGAAGATTTTTAATTTGTGGCAAAGAGAAGTTTGTTTGGGCCGGGAGGAAACCACGGATTAAAATGAAGATTCTATGTGATGCAAAAGAAAGAGGTGGATTTCAGTTACCAAACTTTAGACTATACCATGATGCGGTATGTTTAACCTGGTTGCAGCAATGGACTACGTTAGAGAACAAGAAACTGTTGGCGTTAGAAGGACATGATTGTAAATTTGGTTGGCACGCCTATTTATGGTATGAGAAAGTGAAAATGGATGGTTTTTTTAAAACACCATTATATTAGAATAATTTTTTTTGACACATGGACTAAATATAGAAGGTTCTCCTCGGATGAGAGACCACTTTGGATAGTACCAGCAGAGGTTATAAAACCCTTTTCGACATATAAAGGAGAAGATTGGGTACAATATAAAGACATGCTGAAACCTGTGGGAAAAACATTTGAAATGAAGATGGAAGAAGACTTGGCTTTTAAATATGGTTGGTTGCAATATAGGCAGATTAATGATTTGTTTAAAAAATATAAAAAACCTTTTGGGTTTAGGAAAAAAATATAATGATATTGAGAATGTATGGTTTGAGGGAGGAAAAAAGCATATTTCAAAAATGTATAAGATATTGCTAAAATGTTATACAGAGGATGAGATAGTTAAAGAGCAGATGATAAAATGGGTGGTTAGTATGAATAAGGAAATATTGATGTCATCTTGGGAATTTTTATGGAAGAATGCAATGAAAATATCAACGTGTAATAACTTAAAAGAGAATTGTTATAAGATGATGTATAGGTGGTATATGACACCAAAAAAGATTGCAAATATGAACAGTAATATGTCTAACAAATGTTGGAAGTGTAAAAATGCAGAAGGCTTGTTTTACCATATGTGGTGGACATGTGACAAAGCAAAAATGTTTTGGGCTGAGATACATGCAGAAATGGAAAAAAATGTGAAATGTAAATTTAAGAAAGAACAGGAAATACTATTATTGGGACTTAAAATGGAAGAAGTCAATATGGCAAAAAGGACATTGATGTGGTATATGATCACAATTGCCAGAATGACATATGCTCAATGTTGGAAACAGGATAAGGTCCCTGAAATAGGGGAATGGATTTAAAAACTAATTTTTATGGTTGAAATGGATAAAATGACAAAGAAACTCAATAATGTGGAGGCAGAAGAAAGATTTTAAAGACTATTTGGAGAAGTATTGGGATGTAAAGGACAATTTACTTTGCTTTGAGAACTTTTGAAAATCAAAGGTTAGTTAAAATAGATAAATGTATAAGAATAACAGCTGAAGGATAAGTTACCTGTAGATGTAAACAAGGGGAAAAGGAGGTATGGAAAAAATTTAAGAATGGGGCTGGAGGTTGGAGCACTGTGGGAAGCCGCGAAGGGGGGGGGGGAAGGGAGGAGGGAAGGATATATAACTATATAAGTTTTGAAATATGGTTGAATTGTTTTTACTTACTATATCCTAATAAAATGTTTTTCAAAAAAAATTATAATGAAGGGGATGAAAGGGAAATTATTCACTGTCCTATACAATATGTACTACATGGTTGTCTTCGACAAATGCAATTATGCTGTATAACCCATTTTACCCTTTTCTTTTCTCTACCCTCACTTTTTTCGAAAACAAGTTATTTTAAATCCATCTGTGCATGTATCCAATTAGTGCCTTTGTTTTACTTAACACATGAACACATGTGAAGCTGCCTTGTACTGAATCAGACCCTTGGTCAGTATTGCCTGCTCAGACTGGCAGCAGCTTTCCAAGGTCTCAGGCAGAGGTCTTTCACATCACCTACTTCCAGAACTTTTAACTGGGGGTACTGGGGATTGAACCTGGGATCTTCTGCATGCCAAGGAGATGCTCTGCCACTGAGCCACAGCCCCTCCCTAAACTTAATTTTTAATTTAATTTATTTATTTATTCAATTTATATCCCACCCTCCCTGCAAGTGGGCTCAGTGTTTGGAGATTAGACTAACCTAGACTAGACTGCAGGGACTTATGGAATAAGTCCTCTAGACCTCTGGGGAATGCAGTGCAGGTTAAGATTTACCCTGTGGCAAGGCCACTTGCCATCCTCTGCTATGAATGTAATGAGTTACCTTAGGCTCACTTTTCATTATCTTAGACATTACTTTGACTATATTGCTAACCACTGGACATTCCCACCAGATAGGAAAGAGGGTACCAGGTAACTTTGAATTTTTCTTTAAACATGGCACATAAATGGGTAAAATAAATAAATGTGTCCGGGGTGACACCCCTCCTGCTCTCGGTGGCTTCCACTTTGTTGGCTGTGGCACGGCTCGACTTGCCTCCTTTGGGGTCGTGCAGGTCCCCTCCCTCATGGGTGCCCATGCAGACTCGGCAGCCTGTCCCAGGGCCGCAGGAGGGATAGCGGGAAGAAGGGCCGGAGCCAGGATGAAGCAAATGAAGGGTGGGTGCCTGTTCAGGCTCGGCAAGGCTGGGATGGTGGGGCTGTGGTGCAGGACCTGAGGAGAGAACTGGGCACCGGAATGCCACTTGTCCAGGGCAGAGCCTGGTGGGGTGAGGGGGAGGTGAGCCACGGAGGGGAGAATCCAGACAGACAGACTTGTGGGTGTGGAGAAAAGCCGAGAACCAGTGGAGGACGCAGAAGAGCGGGTGTGTAGAGGGTCCTGGGCTGGGAAGGGTGGCAAGGCCGGGCGAGCAGTTCACCCCACCCAACCCTGAGGGGATAGGTGGTAGGTGAGGCTGGTTGGAAAGCCTCCAGGTGGGCCACTGCATGAGCCCCACGCCCACTGCCTCTTTGGAGAGCACAGGGATTGGAAGATTCAGGAGGGAGGAGGCCTCCAGGGGATGATTTAAGGGAACTAGTTCAAGCAGGTCGGGGAGGAGTGCGTGGCTCTCCCCGGGCTCCACGTGGGGGAGAGAGAGAGGGAATCCACGAAGAGGAGAGCCCGTCAGCAGGAGAGAGGGGACAAAGGGTATTGGAACCTCCCTCCTGCAACATCGAAGGCCTTGCTAACCTGCTCACCAGGTAGAAATCAAGCCCTGGAGGAACCACCCCCCCCCTCCCACCCAAAGTTGGACCCGCCAACCCCGCGGGTCGAAAGCTAATTAACATCTAACGCAAGTAGACGAATGGGTACCTGCCCGTAGATGGGTAGGGGGCACCCACCTCTGACGAAAGAGGCATGGTGGTGGTGCGGATGGCATGGCGGTACAGAGAGCAACAAGCGACGGTGTGGCGGCAGCGGCGAGTGCTGGCGGAGCGGAGGGCGGAGCGGAGTAGAGCAGAGTGATCCCTGGTGGCCGGAGAGAACACCGAGCGTCATCGGGCGGCGACGGCGGCAACGGCGGCATCCTGGAGGCGCACAACGAATGACGCAGGCACAGCGGTGCCTGAAGGACGAAGCTGGCCGGGAGCGTGCAGGAAGCCGTGCGCCTGTGTGGAGCTGCCGGAGTTGCCGGAGAGAAATGTCGGAGCCAGAGGAGACGCTGAGCCAGCGGCTGAGATCAAAAAGACGCCGAGCCGAGCCGAGCCGTGCCGGGGAAGCAGAAAGAAGCACAGATACCACTGAGGGTGCTGGTAGGAAGTCCCACCCCCAACTCTAGATGTGGCCCAAGATAGGAAAAAGCAGTTCTTAGAACGACCAAATATGTGAACCGCCCATAGACCCCTTCGGGGGTTAGGGCGGTATATCAAATCTAAGGTATAAATAAATAAATAAATAAAGGATGCCAGGGTGTCATGACCCCCTGTGGGTTGCCATCTTCTGCTGCCACCACCTGGACTTAGGGTCCCTTGAGAAGGCCCAGGGTACCCTCTTAAGACCAACCAAAATGCCCCTTTTTAGGCTGAGAAACATAGGTGTGATGACCAGGCAGAGAACACTTAAACAAATGGTTTGTTATTACAGTACTGGGGCAAGGGGGAAAAACACGACAAGGTGCTTAAACGATATAACAGTGTTTCAAGGCAAAATAAACACAAAGCTAACGCGACTACCTATTACTCTTGTTTCCTATTCCAAGGCCCACAGCCTTTTATACCAGGACTCCTGCCTGAACTCACTCTGTCTCAGTGAGGGATCTTTCTCTCAGCTTAACTCTGCCCTGTCAGCGTACTCTGTGAGGAGAATGAACACAAACCCCTTCAGTTTAGCTCTGTGAGAGGAAAGAACACAGTTTTCCAGCCCTCAAAGCTTAAGTTCCATCACCTCACACAAACCCTGAACACGGATTGGCTACAACCATCGCTAAGCATTGTGGGGATTGTAGGCTGTCTGCTTCCCACTGCCACACAGGTCTCTAGAGGCCTACACAGATCATGACACAATATGTTTTGCTACTAGGGTTGTTAAAAAAAAAACACCGCTCTAATCTCAGTGGCTTGGCTGACATGGGAATGCATCCTATGAACCCCAAGTGGAAGGTGCTTGCAGTGGCAGGTATTTTCCTACCTCCTCCTGCAGCCCTCTTAAGACTTCTAAAAAGCAAACACTGGGGGTCAAGGGAGGTTCATGGACGTCACCAGACACAATGGGCGGCAGCCAGGAGAAAAGTCGCCTCTCATCCCATTGCACCTGCTCAAGACTAGCTCTGCTGCACCACCTTTGCCAGTAGAAGCAAGGAAATGAGGACCAGTTTCTCCTTACTTAAATAAAACGTCCCCTGCCCCAGGGCATCAAAACATTCTGTCCACAGTGACCTCCAGATTCCCAAGACTGGCTTTTAGAGCATGCTGGGAGAAGCTAAAAATATCCACCACCACCATCACCTTGTCTTAGCTGCCCTGGAGCACAAGCACGGAGCTGCCTTTTCCCTAGGAGCCCCTTGTCTTCTGATTGTCTAGCCTAAAACAGAGCAGAAAGGCACGAGGCCAGCAGAATACCAGCCTGGCCTTGGGATACCATGAGCATGAGGATCATGTGTGCCAAGGCCTTTCACTCTTCCCCCATAATGCTAGAACCTGGGGTCATCCACTGAAACTGAAGGGTGGGAGATCCAGGACAGACAAAAGGCAGTCTTTCTTCACACAGCATATAGTTAAATTTTGTAACTCGCTGTCTCGGGATGTGGTGATGGCCAGCTCGGAAGGCTTGGAAAGGGGAGTGGAGAAATTCATGGAGGATGGTGCTATCAATGGCTACCAGTCATGATGGATGTCTACTCACTCCAGTGCCAGAGGCAGTATGCCCCTCTATCAGTTGCTGGGGGGAGGGGAGGATGGGCAGAAATTTGCT